ACACAAGTTATATTCTATGAAAAATGAATTATTCCCTGAGGCTCTTTCACAAACTGAAGAGGTTTATTCAGAAGCATAATGCTGATATATTCTTACATTTATCAAGTTACTCTCATACTGCATAAAAGGTCAATGGACAAAGTGAATTAATAATATAGATGCAAATGTTCTTTTGGTGTGAAAAGTGGTTTGAATTATTTAAAGTCACTTTGGCTCATTTTGATTTGTTTTGTGAATATTTGTAATAAGACTTAAAAATAACGATGAGTGATTGTTGAAAAAAAGGAAACATACATCTCTTGAACAAGTTACTTTTGCCTCATAAATAACTTGAACTGAACACTGAACAGAAATGACGGGTTTACACAAGTTATATTTATATTCATGTTCATTAAAAACGTCTTGTTTAATGCAGGAAACATGTCCGAGTTCTTTGTTTATTGATCACGTGACAATTCGTCAGTGTGAACGACACGAGTTCCACAGAAAGATCAATTCTAACGTGAGTTAATACACGAGGTTGATGAAACTGTTCAGTGGCTTCAGATACTGAGGAGAATCCACTCGACTGAGAACCAGCAGCAGAATAATAACCAAATACAACTGTAATTATACACAAACGTTGATCCACAGTTTTCCTGCTGTAGTAACAAAGTATTTATTTGGTGCTGGAGAGCAAAACCATGAACTTAAATGATGTAACAAGAGTTTAGCAGCTGAGCTGTAGTTGTTGGAGCTGCACAGGCTGTTATTCATGAAGCAGCTTCATGAGTTTATGACGTCATACCTGTTTGTCTCCTTGATGACACGTGCACAGCGACTGGACCACGTGGAGGAGGCGTGACCTCCTTTAGATACAAGATCACCTCACGAGACAACTTCAGAGTTCCTTCACGTTTCTTTTTATTGTCCTAAAGAGGGTCGTCCTCTTTAAAATGACTAAACAAAACATTTATCACTTTTTAAAAGTCGAGAACGAACAGAAAGACCACCGATGATAAAGAAAAACACACAATAAATACTTTGAAGCATCCGAGCAAAGAGAAGATTCCTGTTTGTGATCTCATGAGAAGCAGGAAGACGGTCGGTACCAACACGTCAGACGGTGTAACCCGGGTACATGAGGCTGTCAGCACGTGTGCTGCACCACCCAGAAGGAAGGAGCCCCTTCACGGTAACACGCTCCACCTGCAGAGTGCACGCCTACGTCATGACCCAGAGACTCTGAACGCCACAAAACGGGTCATTCAGGTTAAAAAGAACTAAACATCACTGTCATGGATGAACCAGGAGTAAAGAAACGAGTTCCCCTTCAGGAAGTGATGGACGGCGGCCCGGAGCGATGGAGGCCGAGGCGTCGGGGGGGACGTCTTGGAAGGTCCAGATGATGAAGATGAGGGTGAGGGTTCGGGGGGGTCGTCTCCTCCTGGTCCTCTCATTCTATATCGTCCTCGCTCAAACTCACGATGCGCTGCAGGAGCAGAACTATGCGTCTCAATCGTATCCCAGCACCAACATGCCAGCTACCACAAGCCTACGCTCAGCTGCCAGCAGCAGAAGGTCAGTTACCACACTGTCTGGCGTCCGGACCAACACCAGCAATCCACTGACTCACTCACACGCTGATGCAGATACCTGCTCACAACAAATTGAAAACTCCTCAAAACGCTGTAACAGCAAAAGTGAAAGAAAGGGGCCTGAATCCAGCCGTCAGAAGATTACGTAACCATGAACCTTTCAAAGCGGTCCATCCTGCCCGTGTGCTGTGGGATACACATGCAAGACCTAATAATGCCAAATAACAGCTGAGCGCTGGTCCGCCTTCTCTCTCTGCTTCTGTACTTCACCGCTGTTGTTTGTCATTATTTAAGAGGGAGGAAGAAAGAACCAGGTCTTCCTTTGTTGACTCTCGTACATAAGCGAGTGTTTCTATCCAGTGAAGCTCGTGTAACTCGAGTCCATCGGTGAAACGGTAACGTGGTCTGCTCTGTTCGCCCCCTGCAGGCCAGAGAGGATCCCGGCATGTCCCGCAAAGTAGCCGTGACCCAGTAGGTTTTTCTGTCTGTCCAGTTCAGAGTAGATGAACGACCAGAACTTTGACTTTTCTTTACTTCGCAGACGCAAAGTCCATCCCCAGAAGACCAGCGTGAACGCCTACGTGGTGTAAACAAGCGCTCCGTGTTTGTGGGGAATCTGTCATTCGGTGAGTCTTTCTCTGATTGGATGTCGGACCCTTGTGTCTGAAGTCAGAGTGTAACCTGCTGTGTGTGTGTGTGTGTGTGTGTGTGTGTGTGTGTGTGTGTGTGTGTGTTTAGAGATGAACGAACTGGCCTTCCGGCAGACCATCTGCCGGTGTTTGCAATCTACAGCGGTGCACCTAGGTTGGCTGAAAGGAATGAAATGATAGAAAGGGGATTAAGAACGGTTGACAATCTAAACAAGTTCAGAAATGAATTAAGTGCACAAAACTGGAGAAAGGTTTATGAGGCAGAGGAGGTTGATTATGCTTATGATTCCTTCCTGCAAACTTTTCTGATGTTATATGACAGATGCTGTCCAATTCAGCAAAGCAGAAAACGAGCAAATCGCTCAGATAAACCTTGGCTTACAAAGGGTCTGTTGAACGCCTGTAAAAAGAAGAACTTCTTATATAAAGAGTTTATTAAGAATAGAAATAAGGAGAAAGAAATGAAGTATAAAAGATATAAAAATAAATTAACTGATATTATGCAAAATTGTAAAAAGGATTATTATTGTAAACTACCAGATAAAAATAAAAATAATATAAAGGAAACATGGAAGATCTTAAATTCAATTATTAGAAATCAATCGACCAGCTCTGGATTGCCAGAAGAAATTCTAGATAATGATTAGATTATTAATGACAAAAAGGAGATGGTAGAAGGCTTCAATAAATTCTTTGTAAATGTGGGCCCTAAACTAGAAGAGCAGATAAACCTTCCGCAAGGGGGATGTGTAGCACATTATTTGGGCAAGAGGAACCCAGATACTATCTTTCTGAAGGACACCGATAAAAATGAAATTATTGCCATAGTTAATAACTTAAAAAAAAACATCAAGAGACTGGAATGGTATTGATATGACAATAGTAAAAGAAGTCATTATTAATATAGCAGATCTCTCAGCACATATCTGTAATGTTTCACTTCAAACGGGCTTCTTTCTCAACCAAAATGAAAACTGCTAAGGTAATTCTCGATTTTCAAAGAAGGTGAAAAAAACCTTTACAATAACTACAGACCAGTCTCCCTGCTTTCACAATTTTCCAAAATTTTGGAAAAAATATTTGCTACAAGGATGGACAGTTTCATAGATAAACATGGATTACTCATAGATAGTCAATATGGTTTTAGGCCAAACCGATCAACATCATTGGCACTCATGGACTTAGTAGAAGAACTGACAAGCACAATAGATAACAAAAAGATGGCAATAGGGGTCTTCATAGATCTGAAGAAGGCATTTGACACAATAAACCATGACATACTGCTACACAAACTGGAAAGCTAGGGGATCAGAGGGGTTGGACTAAATTGGGTACAAAATTACATTGGACAAAGAAAACAGTTTGTACAGATAGGGGATAAGAAGTCCACCTTAAGAAATATTACCTGTGCTGTGCCGCAAGGATCAATACTGGGTCCAAAACTATTTATTATTTATATAAATTACATAAGTAATGCTTCCAGGATCCTGAAAAATGTTATTTTTGCAGATGACACAAATGTATTCTGTGAAGGAGGGAACCTCGAACAGTTGTTGGAGGCGGTCTCGACTGAGTTAACCAAGCTGAAATTGTGGTTTGATATAAATAGATTATCACTTAATGTAAAGAAAACCAAATTTATGGTCTTTGGTAAAAGTAACACACAAGCAAACACACACATTGAACTAAAGATCGATAATATAAAAATCGAAAGGGTGTTTGAATACTCCTTTCTAGGTGTAATGATAGACCACAAGCTCAGCGGAGGCCACGGGTCACTCGTGTACACTCAAAATTGGCACGATGTGTAGGGATACTAGTCAGAGTCAGACATATATTGAATATACAATCACTGCATACACTGTACTGTACACTGTTTGCCCCCTATTTGAGTTACTGTGTGGAAGTGTGGGGTAATACCTACAAAAGCACCCTACAGGCAATATGCACAATTTTAAAAAAAGCAATACGGATAGTTAATAAGGTGGGGTGCTATGAACACACAAACACATTATTTCTGAAATTAAATATATTAAAATTTATGGACTTAAAAGATTTTAAAACGTTACAGATTGTATTTAAAGCAAGAAACAGCCTACTCTAAGGAAACATTCAAAGTTGGTTTAGCGACAGACTAGGAGACTATAATTTAAGAGGGAGACTGAAACTGAGGCAACCAAAGGTGCACTCTACACTCAAAAGCAGGTGCATATCGGTCTGTGGGGTGAAGTTGTGGAACAACTTACCAGATAAGATCAAAGATTGTAAACATATTGCACAGTTCAAAAAACATCTTAAATTATACACATTAGCCAAATATGAGATCTGTGCAAATATACAATGACGGAAATTTAAATTGTATTTATCTTTGCGTGTGAGTATGCGTGCGTGTGTGTGGGTGAGAGAGTGTGTGTAAGAGAGTGTGTGTATGTATGTATGATATCAATCTTCAAAGTAATATATACTAATTGAGAATATGGATAAGATAGGGGTGGGTATCTATACGCTTTTGCTTCCCTCTACTCCTTTTCTTGAACAAAAGGTGACTTTTCTAATTTTGTGGTCTATGTCTATGTTGATTTTTAAATTTTTTATTTTTTAATGTCTACATGTTCAAGAAATAAAATGCTTCAAATCAAAATCAAATCACTTTGAGGACTGTGGCAAAGTGGAGGCCGTACGACTGGTGCGGGACCAGGACTCTGGATTCGGGAAAGGATTCGGCTACGTCCTGTTTGAGGTACGGCGACCCGGGCGGCGCCTTTTCCTGTTCCAGCTCTTCTTCTCTCGATGTCACGGCGGGTTTCACGTGAGACTTTCTCTGTCGATCTCTCCGCTGCAGAGCTCCGACTCCGTGCAGCTGGCGCTGGAACTGGACGGCAGAAAACTGGACGGCAGACCCCTCCGGGTGAGGAGGGCGGAGAAACAGGCGAATAAAGGTGGCGGCAGGAGGAGGAGCGGCAAGGGCCCCGTGAAGGGTCCCGTGAAGGGCCCCGTGAAGGGCCCCGTGAAGGGCCCCGTGAAGGGCCCCGTGAAGAGCCCCGTGTCCCGTCAGGAGAGCGCAGGCCGGAAGAATTTCACCGGAAACCAGCAGAATCCGACCAAGAGCTCCACCTCGTTCAGAGGAGAGATGGTGGATCCGAACAAAAAGAGCCAAAAGAAAGTACTGAAGAAGAAGAAGAGGCCGAAGCCCAAAAAGAGAGTTCATATCTGATATGCGATCTACGTCTCGTAGAAACAGAAAAGGTGTGAGGACGAATGAAAAGTCCAAGGATGAACCAAAAGGAATGAATGACCATCGTTGATGTGGATTCGTGCCACGTGCGCATTTGGAGAGGTTACGTCCGCACAACTAACGACACAATCCAGAGGACAGACGAGTCATTTCAGCTCTAGATGTTTTTTCTGATTGACTCACATTTAATTGTTAGCTTCATATTTCACACGGATGTGCTAGTTATTGATCTTCTCTTCTGTAACTTTCTGTGAGGAAAATCAATAAACACGTTTCTTTATATGTTGTTATTATTATTATTGATGCTGCGTTCACATTTTAATAAAAATGCTTAAAACCTGTAAGTTCACTGGAACAAGTAACTAAGCAGTTTAAATTGAATCTGAGCTAAAAGGTATGACAGTATTTTATGAAAATGTTCAGTTATGAAAACCTCACTGCAGCCACCAAGTGACACCTACAGTTTAACTGCATTTTATAACATTTTCACCTTTAATGAGTTCAGATGAATTAAACGAACGTAAGTGACTCATGTCCTCAGAAGACTCTGAGCTGCGTATGAGAGGGACACCAGGGACAAATATTATGAGGCTCACGTGACTGACTGGAGGCAAAAAGCATCACGACTCCAGCAGTCAGCATGAATCAGAGGAGGAAACAAACCTCACCTGCTGATGACGCTCCAGTAGGAGGCGGAGCTACACGGAGGGGCGGAGCTTCTACGTCACTCTCCAGAAATGAAAGTTCGTTGGTCAGAGAGGCAGACGCGCTGCAGTGAAGACAAGTCTCCGTGTTTCTCTGAGAGAAAAGTCAAAGTGACGTCATCAGGTGTTCATCAGCAACACAGCAGAGTCTCTTCAGAACACTGGTGAGTACAGCTGGTCACATTTACACCTTCAACAAGCAGGAAGAACACACAACTTGTACTTTACTCAGGCAGGAAGTTCCTCTCTGTTCACTTCCTACTTGATAGAATGTTAACAATAAAACCACGTGTGTTTATCCACAGTCCCACAATACAGTAACTCAGTCTAACAGCTTCAAACTGTCCAGGA